ATTGGGGGGAGGGAGAGAAATTACTGCTGATTAATTTATATGATGGCCAAGTTAGCCGTTGCTATCAAGCCGAAATGATTGGCTGTATGCGCCAAAACGCATGATCACCTCATGTTTATTAAAGAAGTCAGGCGCTTAAACTATATTTAATATTGAAAAAAGCGCCAGTTTTGCAAAGTAAAGACAACTGAAGAGTAAACATTTATTTTGATAATGTCTAGATCGGTTGAACAAAGATACAGATATGACGTCAGTCTGGCAGAGTTGTAGATGAACAATTGAAAAAATGTCTAAATGTAGAAGGAATGTCTCTTCGGCTAATACCGAAAATGTGCTTTTTCGTCTTGCTTCTTTTCCAACTTACGATTCGACCTCGGTGCTCTTTATCTCTAGACTTCACAGCTCCAAATAGGAATAATGTTTGAATGGAATAGATGGTCAAACTAATTTTTTTTCTGATCCTATGCGCCTCAATTTAAGCCATTGCCTGACTGAGACGCTGACTCCAGCAATAAATTATAATTAAAAGTATATACTACTTAAATTGCATATAAGTATGAAACTATGTATATTGAAAATGATTAGATTAACCACGTCTAAAATGTTTAAATTTAGTCTGTGTGCCAAGGACTTATGGGGTTCCGAATATGCACATAACATTCGCTCATCACAAGTCACGCTTTAGTTAAAACACACTTGTCTTTGGTCCTCTAGCCTCAATTGCATGAGGGAATTCTCGATGTTCATTCCTCCTTTTATCGCTCTTTCACTTTTCCCTCTGCCCCCGTTCGTCGAATCGGCTTCATTCTGCCGCCCTATTGTCTGCGTCTGCCTTGCCCTTTCTGACAGTTCCATTCAATTTGTTCTTCTACACTTTCCCAAACAGCCGCATGTACCGGTCTAACAATCGTCTCGGCCTCAGTCTGCGCCGCCACCCCCAACTCTATCCAGCGCAATGCCAAAACGGTTGCCAAGCGGCCAGGTTGCCTGCCTATGTCCATAGCATGGACATCCCCTCTTCTGTCCTGGCAAGACGATTGCCATTTTGCGCTACAACACTGACTGTGATGGCATGTTATGGAGCCGTGAATTGTCAAAGTGACGAGTAGACTTGCATGTTACAGTCGTTTTGCTAATTCCGTTCTACGCGAAGAGATATTCCAAATATTGAATAAGAGTTGTAAGCATTCTTGGCCTCACTTGCATTTCGAGTGAAGGGTTTAGTGGAAAGATTCGAACGTGGATCCCACCAAATGGCGACCTTTAGCGGATTGTTCGTGACTACGCGTCGATTGGCTCTGCTAGAACACTCTTGTTGACGCTGTTTCCGAGGCAATCTCATTCGATTCCGGTTTTGGTCCATCGTCTGACGGACAGCATCAGATTGTTGTTGCGTCAAAGTGCCTGACCAGCGTTGTACTGCCACCGTTGGCTTTACTACAACCTTCATTTTGACACAGTCCATGAAACATTCTCCCAAGTTGGGAGCGAAGACAGGTTGAGCCACATGATGGGAATCATTCATGCAAAAGCCTCATGTAAACACTAAGTCAATAAGACATGGTACCATGACTACTATCAAAGGGAATTCGCTCAATCATTCTATGAGATGTACTCACCCTATTTCGTGTAAGGTGATGAAGGGCTGGTAGAAGAAGAATTTTCCCACAATGATATGAGTTGAGCTGACGTTTCCATTCAATTTCACATATTTTTTGAATTAAATATTATTTTCATGACTATCAGTAAATCAGTAGTATGAGATGTATCCACCCAATTTCGTTTAAGGATGAGAACAACTTTTGCTGAAGCAAGGC